GTACTTCTGATTATTCAGAACAGTTTCTAACCTAAGGTCTCCTTCCCCGCCTCTCTCTCTCACACACACATACAACCAAATGAAAAGAGAAGAAACAATGGAAGCACAAATCCTAGAAAATAATAAAAAAATTTAAAAAAAGGAAAATTAAGCAGCCCATTTCTGCCAGATGTGCCTCTCACAGCTGGGCAAACAGCAGGATCCCAGAAGCCCCTCTGTTATGCACTGAGGGTGTCTACACTCTAGGCTAGATACAGCAGCAAGAAATTCTATGTAATCCTTGGGAAGGGCCCAGTGGGGCCGCCTCCCTGAGAACCCAGCAGCTAAAGTGGGGGACCATCTTCACTTGGTAAGTGTGTGCAGCCATTCAGCCCCCAAGAGCTTAGTGACTTTCAGGAGACGAAGTGGAATCCACTCTGCAGAAGTTGCTAGGTCAGCTTGCCTTTCTGCTGATACTAAAGTATGTTCAAGACTCACCAGATCTTAAGGCAGAGAGATGATGCTCGAAGTTCCACTCTTGCTGGCTATAAAGCCTGTTTGCAGCCATATATGGCCTCTACTCTGCTGTCCATATTCCTTCTTCTACAAGGCACCCTCCTTCTAAAGAAAGACAGCCCATTCTTATCTCTGCCCCCATTGCCAATCTCAAATTTCACTCCCATGTACTACCAGACCTTCCTCAGTCTTTGTCTACATAATGTTGTTCTCTTTGTCAAATTCTCACTTCCTCTTTTCTCTTCCATTCCATCCAACCTGCACTCAAAACACTAGACAGCACAGACATGGGGAACATGGTGTCCAGAGCCAAACAGGCTGATGATCGGTTTAATTCCATAATTATATACAAAATGCCTCACCTCTCTGTGCCTCTGGGGACATAATTCTGTTTTAGAAAAGTTAGCTAATACTTCGTGTGGCTGTCACAGAGGCAGGTGTCAGGTACCAGGGGACAAAAGCGGTCAGAAGAGGATGAGGATGGTGTGTGAATATGTTCAGGAGGGAGTCATCAGACTTAAAGAATGATTGAAATAGCTGGGAGACTGTGGTTCAGTCTTGTAATCCTAGCTCCTCAGGAAGATGATATCTGAGGATAGTGCTTGCAAACCAGCTCAGACAGCAAAGTCCATCAGACTCTTATCTCCAGGTAAGCGCCAAAGAGCCAGATGTGCAGCTGTGGCTCAAGTGGTAGAGCATTAGCCTTGAGCAAAGAAGCTCAGGAACAGCACCCAAGCTGCCCAAGCTTCCAGGACTTGAGTTCAAGCACAAGGACTGACAGAAAAAAAAACAAAGAAAGAAACAAAGAAAGAACCAGAAAGAGAAAGGGGGGAAGGAAGGAGGGAGGGAGAAGGGAGGGAGGGAAGGAAGAAAAAGAAAGGAAGAAAGAAAGAGAGAGAGAGAGAAGGGGGAGGGAAAAGGGAGGGAGGGCAGGAAGGAGGGAAGGAAGGATGGAAGGAAGGAAGGATTAAAATAGGTATGATGCCACCTCCTATTGCTGCAGGTTTTCTAGTATGTGGCAGGTACCTTGCTAAGTGCTCTGTAAGCTTTGCTCTTGTTTTACAGATGTGGAAACTGGGGTTGAGAGATGTTAGCTAACTCTTCAATGCTAACCCATTCATAGATGTAGAGGAAAGCTGTGTCTCCTCTGTTCTCTTATTTCCAGTGTTTGAAACTGGCTTGTCCCTGAGTTTTAGGAACTCCATGGAGAAGCCCTATCTCCAGAAGGATGTACTATCCCTGGATGGGCATGTGATATGATAGGTCCTTGCTCTTTCTTGGATGTCCTTAGTCTTCTTGCCTCCTCTGGTGGTGAGTTGAGGACATGCTGGGCTTGGCTGGAATCCGAGGCCAGTTGACCACAGACACCTTTCACATGTGATGAACTGGAAAGATAATCTTGGTCTTGCATGCTTCCTAGGCCCCCCTATCATCCCACACAGCAGCACCCCCCTGGGAAAAGCAAGAATGATGACATAAGCACTTTCCCCATCTGGCCACTCATTCTTGCTTATGTTCCTTCTTTTGGAAGGAGTAAAACAAGTCTGTCAAATGGTCCTGGTAAGCAGCCCAATTATCCTGATGTTCCAGGGCCAGCTCCTTGGGTGACAGAAATCAGGACCAGCTGTTTGCACAAGAGCTGCATCTTCACTACTCCCTAGCATTAGATGGAGTCAACTTTAATCTTCAACAGCATCTCTTCTCACCACCTCCTTTGGCTCAAATAGCACTTTCTTGCTCTGTTTCCCTCCAGATGGGCAGAGTTTTGCAATTCTGTACCTTTCCAGGAGCCAGTCCTAACCTTCATTGCAGGGGTGATCCCATAGCTGGGCTGTTTTCTCCCTACTCAGGAACTCTTTTATATCGTGTTCCCAATTCATGAGTTAAAGTTGTAAATACTTCACACTAGCCGCATTTGGAGATGAGGTCTTTAAAAAGGTGATCAGGCCCATTTCAGAAATGTAATTTAGTTACTGATGTATTGAGACAGGATCTCACTCTAGCCAGGCTGTCTTCAAACTTGTTAAATAGAACAGACTAGCTTTAAACTTGCCATCTTCCAGCCTGGTTCAGCTTCTTGAGTGCTAGGATAACTTTCATGCGTCAGCACACCCAGACCTAACTACCTTTCTTTTTCTGTGCTGGGGATTGAACTCAAGGCCTCATACATGGTTGACAAGTACTCTGAGCTACATCCCCAGCCCATGATTAATGTAAAACAAAGTCATCAGAAGATCCTAACCCAATGTGCCTGGTGTCTTTGGAAGAAGAGGAGACCAGGACACAGACACATACAGACATATGCACACAGAGACAAACACACAGATTCCCCTTTCTCCGGCCTCCCCCTCCACCCCCCCCCCTGCCCCGCAGCCTCCCTTGCTCTCCTGAGAAAATACAGGGGGGGAGTTTCCATCTGCTAGCCAAGGAGAAGAAGCTTCAGGAGAAACTAGTCCTGCTGACTATATGATCTTAGACTTTAGCCTCCATATATGGGAGAAGATGAAGTTCTGCTTTTTTTTCAGCCACTAAGAGTGTCGTACTTTTTGCAGCAGTCTTAGCAGATTAAGATGTACCCAATGGGTTAGGTCAGATGTTCTACTCATTGGATTGAAATTTCCCTGCAGGCAGGTTGCTCTGATCCATTAGAATAACTACCATATCTCCCACTTACTGTCTTGGTCCATTCTGTGCAATCACAAAATACCACAGACTGGGTAAGTTATAAAGAACAGAATGTTGGGGCTGGGAAGGTGGCTCAGTGGTAGAGCGCTTGCCTTGCATGCCTGAGGCCCTGGGTTTGATTCCTCAGCACCACATAAGCAAAAAGAAAAAAGCCAGAAGTGGCGCTGTGGCTCAAGTGGTAGAGCGCTAGCCT